TATAACCAGGTGGCACTTGCTTTGTTGTGTTTGTTTTTAAATCTTTAGTGTTATTTTTGCAGGAACTATTTACATTCCTTGTATCGTACTGTATGTGGTTTGGTGTTTCTTTTAGCACCTACTTCAGGGGTAGGCACTCTCCAACACAAGACAAACCTCTGAGTAATGTAAGTATACAACGACTGGTCTGGACATAAACTTCCATGCAAGTTTCACTGAGCCTTACGTCTGATTACAGCCTTAACATGAGTTTATGTTTGGTGTTTATATCAGAATCAAAATTAGAATCTGCTTTTTATCATTATGTCAAAAGCACAACTAAATTATATGCTTCCCTATATCACTTTCACGCATAGTGGTCACTGCGTATGTTGTCGGACAACATACGTTTTGAAAAGTCTTTGAAAAGTACATGTTTGAAAAAAATTAAGTTCAAAAATCTTTTTTCATGCCTGAAGATGAATAAAAATACTTAAGAAAAAAATCCTGATTGAGGTTGTCATAATTCATGCATTAAAGGGTTAAAATGCAAAGAAAGCAAACTATCTTAAACTTTTAATCTATCTAAAAATAAATAAATAAATAAAAGAGTTTCTAATAAATCAGTACAGTCCAAATATAATTAGACTTTCCTTTTTAACAAATCTTAGAGCCGAGGCTGGATCAGGTGACCCTGAACCTTCCCTTAGTTACACTGCAATAGGCCTGGGATGCTGGGGGCTTCCCATGATGCACTCTGTGTTTTCTTCACTCACCTCTTTTCAGTCTGTGTGTTTATTCACCACTTTGCATTTAGTTATTAGTCATTATTAAACTCTTTTGTCCTCTCCCTCAGCACTCACCCAGTTCCTGAGCCTGGTCGTACTGCAGGTTTCTTGCTTTTAAAAAGAAGCTCTTCCTTCCCAATGTCGCCAAGTGCTAGCTCATAGGCCGTTGTCTGATTGTTGTTGCTTTCTCTGTATTATGTAGGGTTTTTACGTCACAATATAAAGCACCTCAAGACAACTTTTGTTGTGATTTGGCGCTGTATGAATAAAGCTGAGTTGAATAGAATAGAAGAGTGTTGACTTGATTCTTAAGTTGTCATCTCTGTTAGTGATTCCCTGTTTAGTTGTTAGTCTCTTATGTCTTGTATTTAGCTTGACGTCCTTTGTGTCATTTGTCTTGATCAGATTTAGCTGTTTCTTGTTGCCCACCTGTATTATCCTCCTTTACATCATGTGTACATATAGCTTCAGTTTCCCTTTGTCTGATTATCTGTTTGATAGTAGTAAACAGACAATCAAATAAGCTTTGACAGTGTTCACGTCCTCGTTGTAACAGTTACACTTGAATAGAGAGCACAGCAAAATATGGCATTGTGTCTACCAAAGATTTCAAAGAAAGTGTCCAGATACTCACTGCTGTCATGATATACTGCCCCCCACACTGAAAGAAAACAGCAGTTTGTTAAAGCCTCATCACTAAAGGTGTAAATTTCTACCCTGCAGACTCTGAGGTTGCCAGAGCTGTATCGATCTGTGCATCTGGCCTCTGTGTCACTGCGCCTTTTCTGTATCTATCATTACCATATTTGTTATGCTCAAAATTCATCCCTGGTGTGAGGTAAATAATTATAGTGCAGGGCCACAGGATCAAAGTTGCAGTGACGCTAGATATGAAGCCGTATTTAAGCAAGACAATAATAAAGTTAAAGTGTGGTGCAAGAGAAGTTCGACGGTACATTGTCTCCTTCCTCATAAACTTGCTGAGGTATACACAAGCTTGTAAATAATCCCCTGCACATTGACGACAATGGAGTCGGCACAGAGAAATGTTGATCAGCTGAAAATGTGACTCCTTTATCAAAAGCTGCCTGTCTCGCACTGCCAGTGTGTTTACGAAAGGATTCATTTCTGTCTTTTCATACAGTGGAAAAACATATTTGGCAAGTCACAAACGATTGACTAAATATAACACATCTTTCAAAGGTGCAACAAACAGATTTTGACCAATTGTGTTATATTAATGTGTAACATTTTCAGTAAATTTCTAGTGGAGCAGATAACCAGGTGCGTGGCCTCTTAATCTCATAAAGGCCCTTCCCATCATCCCATGCTTCAGCTCACATAACAATAACACAACATCGTACACGTAAACATTAGCAGGTTTGTTGCTCGAATTTCTTTCAGCATCTGAGCTGAAACCCATGTGTTACTTGTGAAAGAGGCAGCGAGTTCACTGACAGCACAATCACACATGATCGAGGAGTCACTCCAGCTCCTCCAGCTCCAGGACTGAGGCGATAATCATGACAGTGAGCTTGGTGTTTACCCTCTGCTGAGTGACAGTCAGCTCAATCAGCAGCTCAGACTCGAGTGGCCATGAGCCAGAGATCCTGAGCTTTATAACTAACGTACAAACCTGAGACTGAGCATGAACTCAAAGCTGATGTGCTACAGTTTTTCTAAACAACATTTCTGACTTCGTCCTCAGTAATATGCAATGATGACAGAAAGGTAGATCTATGTGTTGAATCACACCTTGAGACTTGAATTTTTAAAGAATCCTAAGAGACTGAAGCATTTCTCACAATAAATTAATCTTGTAGTGAAAATGGCCATCGCTGTTTATCAGACAGTAAGGGGTTGTCATCAGAATGCTCATTTTTCCCAATGAATAATTTAAAAATTTAAAAGAAAATAGTTGCAGTTTTACTTTTATGCGCATCAACTCATCTATAAAACTCACTGACTGTACAAAGATACTAGTCATAGTCATGTAATCCATGTGCACACATTAGGCACAGATGGTGGCTGATGAGGACAAAGGATGCCATTGCATAGCTGAATCCACTTTTAAAGGGGCAGTTTAGCAATTTGCCTTTTCATGTACATCAATTTACAGGTGTGACAAGGTGAGCAGCAAAGTCCAAATGTTTAATGACTTATGTGGGTCAAATCTCAAACTACTGGATCTAATAAATGTGGCCTATAAAGCAGCATGATAGTGGAAAGGGAAAGCTCCGCTTGTTCTTTTAGCATTTTCCTTCTCTGTGTCCTCATATTAAATCTCACACTGAACAATATCCTCATCGTGTTAACACAGAAATGCAATTACAAGTGATTATGTCATGACCTTCACCTTTTCTACAGCGTTTGCATGCTGTCACCTCCGGTTTGTTTACATGTGAAAGAAGTTGTTTGTTATCCAAAATTAAACTTCAAGTATCATAAAAACTCTAAAGCTCTGGAAGTTCTTAAGGGGTTTTCTTGCACATTTGTGTGACAGATGTGCAATAATGAGTAATGAAACACAAAAGTTTCCACATCATTCAAAATCATCTGGTGTCCAAGTCCAAGCTCGAATAACTCTCACGACGTCTTGCTTTGGTGGCCTCCTGAGGTCAGCTCCACTTCCATGTTAAAATACACTTTAAATAAACATATTTGCAGCCTGGTACAGATTGCAGTTTACGACTACAGTTAATTGCCCTTCGTGACATCAGATTAATTGCTTTAAATTGTAGCAGTTAAGCATTACATGGCTGCTTTGAGTGGCAGTTAGGCACCACCCGTCACTCAACATCTCAAAGTCTTTTAAAAATGTCTAATTACCACCATCTGTTATACTACGGCTTTATCTAGTGAGAAAAGTAACTCTTTAAGCACCCTTTCCATAAAATAAACAACGCTTTGCAAGTAGCTTCTGTGCGTTGGTTATATAGGCCATGCACCCTGCTGTGCATTCACCTTTGAGTGCAATGACTGTACTTCAGAGCATATCCAGTTGACATTGGTTGAACCTCTTCCAGCACATAGAGAGTTTGAACCTAAAGGTGAATATTATGGTTTTACAGCTGTAGCACTGGTACCATTCTCCTCCTTAGTGGGCCAAACCACTATTATTGTCTAATTAGCACAGTTCTTCTAATGTCCATATGAGGCTGGTTTTAAAATTGAGTCAGTCCCCATAGACTCCCGTGTTAAAATGCCTAACTATAATACACAAATAAACATGTTTTCAGCCTGGATAATGAAACTGTTTTGTTCTAAGCTTCATGATACGGGAGTTGGCGGTGTGCACGACAAAAGGAGCTGTCGCCAATCATTGTCCGCTAACTGGAGTCACAGAACTGAACCTCTCCACCATGTTTATGCTATTGGTGGATCACAGATGCACTATTTGACAAATACTGCATCTTACCTGCTGTTCAGAAAGTCTATGGTTCAATTCTGGTGTGTGAAATTCCAGTATATTATTAGCCTGTTGTTTAGCACTAATTAAATGATAACAGTTTCTTTGCATTGGACCTGTGAAGTTGATTGGTTGTGTCACAAGTCATCGGTGACATCTCTACAACTGTTTCACAGTTATACCGCTGCTGTGCTTCATACTCACTGCAGTGTTCTCAGTGCTAGCAAAGGAGTGGAAGTCAAAATGAAGTTTTCTCAAGAAAGTTTTATCTTTTTAAAAATGGTGCAGGGTTTTTGTATAATCTGGGAATATCTGAGCTTTTTGCACTGATATGTCATTGAAATATGGTAAAACCTGACATAATGATACACTCACGTCTTCAACCGAGCCACATCAGCTGCGCTACCTGCACAGAGTTACAAAAATCGAGAGGTGCACGACCAGCCTAAGCAACAGTGAAGCGTGGCTTTCAAAATGAGGACAAAACATACCATGACGGCTGAGTTCATCTTTTACATACAGTCTATGCTTTTTAAATGCAAACGGGTTTCATGTTTAATTGTTGGAGCTTCATGGTACTGAATTCTCTATATGATAATCATTTATGTTTTCAGAGTTATTTGTGTGGCTTCAATGCATAATTTTATAAACACATGCTCATTTCGTGGGAGCATGCATGTTATTAAATCACAGGTAGACTGAAGGAAGGCATGAAAATAAGAACATATGGTGTGATTCAGCTGCAGAAGGTGGGAGATGGCCTTTGGAGTTTGTTTTGCACAGCATTTTGATCAATTATTTAGGATGTCATGTGTCAAAGCCCATAGTAGCCTAACCACGTTCACCAGCATTATGGGCAGATAATAGCCCCAACGTGTCAATCGAGGATGGAAGCAGATAAGATGTGAAAGGTGATCTATGCGGTGACTAATGATAGAACATTGATCAAACACACTACTCTCTGTCGAAGAAATGAGACCCCCGTGCTGCAGCGTTGACGTCTCAAACGGGAGCTCTGCCCAGCTGCAGGATGATATTCATATTCCGGAGGTATATGTGCAGGACAAACATGCACTGATGCAAACACGCTTTGGTCACAGCAGACAAACAGAGGCAGCTCCAAGCTGTAGCATCGTGTCATGCAAAGAGACGTGGAGCCACCTCCATTTTCAAGCTCTGCTCTTTTTTTTTTTACCTTCTGGGAGGTGAAAGATTGCGTCCAGTGGTACAAAACGAGCCTGTCTTTGTTGAAGGGTTTGGGCTCTGCCGCCGGTTCTTCGCACTCCTCCCCGTCTGTGATTTTGCCGTCTTCATCCATGGCTGAGATGGGCCACCAGCTACAGTTGGTAGGGGTAACATGGTTGGAAGACGCCATGACAGAGCGTTTTGTGCGTGTGGAGGAGAGGAGCGAGGAGGGAGAGGATGGAGAGAGAGTGTGTGTGAAAGGGAAAGAGAGCGAGCAAGCGAACAAGAGAGAGAGAGAGAGAAAGCTCAGCGGCTCGAGCGCAGCAGCATCACCGGTTCACGCGGCAGCAGCGACAGCATCCATCAGTTTGGGACAGCTCCGCGCTTCCCAGGGAAAAAACACGCACACCCTAATCCATATGCAAATACCGACTTACTCGAGCATGCCGCTGTACTTGCAATTAAATCGATGGGTAACCGTATTACATCACATGATGCGTTACGCACAAACATGCGCCGTGGAAACCCCTCGCAGGGAGCGCTTCAGTGGAAGGTCAATCGGCTCCTGTAAGGACAATGGAGGCTGTGGGCCACGGTACGCACGCAAATTTTCATTGTGTGGAGCATAGTCTGCCTATAAGAGCAGCTCATTAAATAATCAGAGGACTTCAAGTGCTTTTCTTTCCGTTACCGGGAAACTATTTGGACTAGGCCATGGTGTCAAACTCACTTTAGTCCGTGGGTGACGTGCAGCTCAATTTCGAGCCACACCAGTAAACCGATTACATAATAACTTTTAATATTCCGAACTCCTAATTTACTCTCTTAAAAAGGCACGTAGGGCCTAATTCCCCGTGACCGTAAAATCATTTAAAGTCTTCGGAAATTAACGGAGATATCGACAAAATGTGAAGAAACAAGGGACGCAACACAATAGAGTAACATTTGTTTTAATTTGGAAAAAAACAAAACAAAACAAAAAACATTATCAACTGAAGTAGAAGTAGAGCCGTGCTGCACTTTCATGTAATACCAATTTACACCACAAGATGACGCACTGGGACAATCAATCCCCCCCAATCAGTCAAGACATTAAAAATACTTTATTTACAGTTGCTAAGTAAACTGAGGTAAAGCTAAAAATAAATGGCCAGATAAAAACAACATACATCCCAAAATATTTCAACACACAGCGAGCATTTAGAAAACGTAATGTAGAAGTTCACAGTAAATACTTTGACCAGATCCTAATTTTATTTTATTTTTTTAAATCTAAAACCATCTGTCCAAGAAGATAAAACTTACAACAACAGAAGTTATTACTTATTGTTAATATTTTTATCACTTAATGGGTGATTCATCTTTTACATAAAATAAGTCATGCTCCAAGAATATTTCCAAATTGTTTTTTCCCACATTTGTGAGTCAGATCAAAGTGAAAAAGCACAAAAAACTTCACACGCAGATGGTTTTGTAATTAAACATACCAGTGTTATTTCTTTATGAAACAATGTGCCTATAGATCTAGAAACACTTCAGTTTCCATCCATTTTGTCTCCTGTGGAATAAACCTGGCCTCGACACACCAAGAATAGAAATGCATTTTATGGAAACAGAATGAAGTAATTAGGCAGCATAGTGGTTAGCACTGTCACGTCATAATAGGAAGATCCTGGGTTTGAACCCACTGGTTCCCTGGGGCCTTTCTGTGTGCATTTTGCATGTTTTCCCTGTTCCTGTGTGGGTTCTATTTGGGTAATAGTGGAATGAATAGTGGAATTGTACAGTGCTTTGAGGGCCCCGAAAAGCGCTATATAAATGAAATCCATTATTATTATTATTTGTGAACTATGCTTAAAAGCCAGGCCTGTGCCAGGAAACCAACCAATTTAAATGAGCTCTATCAATTGTGCCACGAAGAGTGGTGAAATATCCAGTCAGAATTATTCCAGACGCTTGTTGATGGCTACCAAAGCATGTAGCTGAGGTGCAGTTTCTTAAGGCAGGGATGTCAAACTCATTTTACATCAAGGGTCACATACAGCTCACGTATATATCAGTTTTTTTACCCCCCACATACAGAGCGGTGAAACTCCACTTTCTGTCAGTGCAAAGACGTTTAATAAGAATAAATAAAGGAATGATAAAGAAATGCTGCTGTAGTAAATGAAAGAACTGTCAGCAGGACTTTATTAAAAAAAAAAAAAAAAAAAGGAGAATGTTTATGTTACTTTATTACTGTAGTGTAGTATAAATGGTAGAAAACAGTAGTAAAACTAAAACATAGTAACTAAGAGTTTTTCCTCTAAAGTTATCCAGTCAGCTGGACTGGAGTCTTTGCTGGGCCAATTCTGGCCCCCAGGCCTTGTGTTTGACCCTTGTTCTAAAGGACATTTAATTATCAGTGGGTGTGCATGTATACTTTTGATCCTGTGTGAATTATAGAAAGTTTCAAATTCACACTTTTCCACCTAATTTTAAAGTCATAAAAGAAGTATGCTGTACGATGATTCCAGTCTGGAAAAAGAAGAGTTCAAATTAAAAGCCCAAAATAACCATGACGTCCATGAGTGGATGTAAACGTTTGACCACAACTAATTGAAACTAATCCCAACCCTGGAAATAAATACATAATTTCTTTGCTTTTTGACTTAATTAGCATTGAGATTAGAAATATATTATTGGTTTTACAAAAAAAAA